GCATACATTTGAATTGAAATATTTACCTTCACAAGTCTTGGAGGACGTGTTAAAACGATGCCCAGCATTGCAGTCACATTCATATTTTCCTGGGGTGTTCCGGCATTTTGCCCCTCCACAGATAACTGGACTTAGCTCACATTCATTTCTATCTATTAAAGATAAACATATATTACTTGTAGAACACATAAAACTTAGGAGACAAGTCCTGATGACCATCCTGACAAGTGAACAGTAACTTCAGTAAAAGTATAACTTATACACAAACTTAACTTTTTAGTCTTGGATAGAATAGTAAAGAGTAAAAAAAAATATTTTTTTTTTGCTGTCTGTGTACCTATTGTGGGTATTGTCGAACACTTCCTGTACCAAAGACACAACAGCAAGTGAAAGGAAATTTCTCCAAAGGAAGGGTAAATCCACTCTTAGATGTCACCACAATTGCTGTCACCTTTGGGAAACTTTGACAACTGTAAAAATTTGGATTCACCATTACATACTGTCCTAGTGACAATGATTACCGGTCGGCGGACGGGAGGTGGTTAAGAAGACACATTAAGAACAAAATAAATCATAATGTGAAGTCAGACAGGCAGGATAACAAATAGAGGAACACAAATGTATTCTGATATACTGGATGATCACTGCTCAGTGCCCAGGGATGAGAATAAAAGATATGAGATTTATGTAAGGCCTGTTTGCTGTGTCCTCCCTCGAATTCTCTGCAATGAACGTCAATTGATTACAGTGATATAGTGCTAAATGTGTCTTTCTTGGCTGCTCTGGAAGACTTGGGAGATTTGGAGAGAGGAATTGGGCTCTTAATCACAAAGGACCGGTTCTCTGTATTGAACCGAATTAGCTTTTTAGTTACTGGAGATTGTTTTATGAGGACTTCCCTGGCACTGACGGATGGCTTCACCAGAGCAAGTAGAGATAAATGTATCATTACTTTATATTGAACGCATAATTGTGGAGGGGGAGATGAAATACATTCAAGTCATCTTAAATAATGTGGGTGTCTGACAAAATTAAGGAACATGGAGTTTCTCTGGAGATGGATGCGGATGGCAATGAACGGTCAGTAATACCTGGAAATTTAATATAGTAACTAAATCTAAGAAGAATTTATAAAAAGTGTATCTGTCACTTGCATTTATCTCACAATGACTGTCAACAAAGTGGTCTATTTATAAACAATTTACAGGGCCCTTCACCCTGAATATTGTGAATAACTGTGAACATTTGTTTTGGATCTATAATGGCAAAAACATATATTCTTCAAATATCCATTCCCAGTTTGAATGTACTGTGTTGTAATAATACAGTATTGTCACTAGATAGAGCTAGAAAGCATAGGAAATAGGTATTCCTTTCTAGTAGCCAGAATAGAGCTGACGACCATTTATTTCCCATGCTCCTTAGCACCATCTAGTGGTCATAATGTATTATTACAACACACTAAATTTAAACTGGGGGAAAAAATATGGAGAACATTTGTTTTGGCATTATTCCCCCAAAATGAACGTTCACAGATAATCACAGGACAAAGAGCCCTGTGAATTGTTTATAAATAGACCCCATAGTGTCAGGTGTGATTTGTGAGTACTATGCGACTTGACCATCACACCAACATGAGCTTGTTGGATATCATTCCAAAACCATGTACAAAAAAACACAAGTGCATAACTATGAAATCCACATTGGCAAACATTAGCTTACAAAGACATGTTAGACAATTGTGCGCAGAGTCCTGACCTCAACCCTGAACACCTTTAGGATAAACTGTAATGCTGAATGCAAGCCAGGTCTTCCCATCCAACATCAGTCTCTGACCACACACATGCTCTTTTGGCTAAATGGGAACAAGTTTCCTCAAATAAAACGAATGGCAAATGCACTCAAAGTTCCCTCAAAGACACTCCAAAATGTTGTTGAAGAAGAGTGGGGGCTGTTACAAACAAAGGAGGAGATCGGCAACTCTGTATTAATATCTGTGGTGTTGGAATAAGATCTCCAACAAGCTCATATAGGTGTGATAGTCAGGTGTCTGTAAATATTTCGCCATATTATACAAGAGTACAAAGTAATGCCGCCATGTCTGTAATTTGAGATCTATTAGAGTGACTGTGAATGTTCATGTACCATGTTATAAAGGTGTTCTTACCCCACTAATGTATGCTTTTCTTTTTCAGATGAAGTGATTAGAACCATGAATATGCGTCTAAAACAATGAGCTGTAATGAATTTCTGGCGAAAGAGGGTTACATACCTAAGGAAATCCATGTTCGGCTTAAGAATGTGTATGGGAGCGCTGTAATGGACATTGGAAATGTGCAGCGTTGGGTGAAGAGGTTTCAAGAAGGAGAAACCAAAATTTCAGCTAAGCCAAGGAGTGGCCGTCCATCAACTTCAGTCAGCCATGAGAACTAACAACGTGCTGATGAGTTGATTTGAGGAGACAGACGCATCACAGTTCAGCATGTTGCTGATGCATTGAACATGTCTTTTGGTTATGAAGGCCAGACTATGCGGTTTTGGATTCGAAGCCTTGGATGCAGTTAAATCAGCTGTAGAGTCATGGGTCAGGCAGCAAATTCCAGATTTCTTCCAAAATGGATTTCATACTTGGGTTCGCCCATGGTGTAAATATATTGATAGTAATGATCATATGTTGAACAGTAGTTTTGTGTACAGGAGACTTCAAGCTATGATCCATTGCTATTGCATGATATTGCTCTGATTTGTCCGTTAATAACGTTGCGGTGACAGAGGAGGCATTACTTTTAATTGACCCATATATATATATGTATATAGATCTATATCTATAGATATAGATCTATATCTATAGATATAGATCTATATCTATAGATATAGATCTATATCTATATCTCTACATATAGATATAGATATATCTATATATATAGATATATCTATATCGGCATTTCCCTCCTACTTCTCATCTTTGTATAGACCTCTTCTTGGAAGATATTCCCTATGAGTATTAAGTGGACTATAAAATAATTTCCCAGAATGCACAACATACTACTGTCTAGCTCTAATATATTCAGTTAAGCGTGATGTCAGTCTATGTAGACCAGCAACTAGGCATAGTGCTATGTAGGAGCAAAGGCTTAGCCACTAATAGCCTTGATTTCTGAAAGCTGGCTGTACATACTGTATGATTGTCAAATCAAGATGACTTGCAGAACACTTACCATTACAAGTGTGTTTGTCTGCCAGCAGGTAGTAGCCATCTTCACATGCACATCTATAGCCACCAGGGAAGTTCACACACCTCTGGTTACATCCAGCATTTTCCTTTTCTGGATCCTCACATTCATTTATGTCTGCAAAAAAGAAAATTACTTGTGCTGCATTGTACAGGAACTCCTTGTGTAGAAGTTGGAGAGAAAGATTGTGATTAGCACATAAGGAACATTGCAATATAATATTCAGGAGCCTTATGCAATACCATTAAGGACTCATGCACACGGGCACATTGGAGCATACAATGTAAGTATTTGGGCTTTTTCCCCATTCAAGAAGCCCAGGTGCTGCATACAGCCACCCAAATGCATGATGGGGTGTGCACAGCAGTATGCAGGTACAGGCTAGTATTTGCACAAACCCATGTATAGCATACCGATGTATTACCCAAATGCAGACTTTCTGCATTCAGAGAATATGTCTGTATGCTGTACATAGATTTACGTGAATACTGGAGTTTACCTGAATACAGTTGCGCACAGCCACTCGTGTCTATCGGCGGCAGTGCGCAGCACCTGGGCTTCCCGGGTGTGAAAAAAAGGAAGAATTCCATCGTGCCCATGTGCATGAGCCCTAAATGTACAAGGCAGCAGTGCATGATTGTGCTTACTCACTTTAAAATCTGATCATAAGATTTCCTGTTTCAATGTATTCTTCAGTCTGATTGTTCAGCAAATGCAGTGTATATGGACTCCTCTTAGATTTGCCAAAAGATTTTTCTCCATTCATTTAAAGTGACACTAAACTCAGGGGTTAAATCTTAAAAATGCATTCAACTACCTTAACTATTAAGTGCTAAACAGATGCTTGTTTCCGGATGTGACGCAATGTCTTCACTACAGTTTCTATAAGTGGAGCAGTCTACATGCTGTATGATGTAATGTATCTCACCTTGAAAGTCATCATGCTATCACACACCCAACAACTGGGAGTAAAAGCAGCTACAGCCAACAATCTTGTTCTCTATGCTACAAGAGGCAGTTAAAGTGACACTAAACTCAGAAGTTAAATCTTAAAAATACATTCAAGTCAAAAATGAATCTTATCTGTATCACTCAGCTGTAGATCCTCAAATCATCTCTGAATTGGTGCTGACACTGTCCTTCCTTCTGGGGGGTGGCTACTTTTGTTCCCCATGGCACCAAGTGATACACAATACGATACATTTTTGTTAATAGTTAAGGTACTTGAATGTATTTTTAAGATTTAACTCCTGAGTTTAGTGTCACTGTAATTTGCAGCCATAGTGGTTGTATTTATTAGAGAGTATCTAAAGTCAATTTTTTTTAGTTTTGGATAGAGTAATGGGGGGGTAAGAACTCCTGTCAGGTTTTTATAGCTGTCTGTGTTCCTGATGGGAAGACTTACCGTTCTATGTCCTGATGACCACTGTCACTGAATCTAAAAATTAGGGAAAGTCTAACAGAATTGTCACCAGAACAGGAACAGAGGGGAAGTCTTCAAATGGGGACCCTTGCTCTGGTGACAACTGGTTGGATTTCCCCTACCTTGGAGAGATTACTTCTCACTTTATTTTGTATCTATAGGACGAGACATGAAAGAAGATCTCCTGATGGCAAATAAAACTCAACAGAGGTTTCATTATTCCCTACTTTAAAAAAATAAGAAGATCCATTTTCCCTGAGAATATCTGTGAACATTCGATCTGTGTGGATTTATGCCAAAACAAATGTTTGTTTGTTTTTCTTTTTACGAGGCAATGTATTTTTTGTTTTTATTTCCATGTAATACCAAATATGCCCACTAGATGGAACTGAGAAGCATATAAAATGAGCATTTAATGGGCATAATTTAGTATGACATAAAACAAAAAAAATCAATAATACATTGCCTTGTAAAAGAAAAAAACAAACAACATTTGTTTTGGTATATATCTGCACAGATTGAATGTTCACAGATATTCTCAAGGAGAATGGCTCTGCAAATTGTTTATAAATAGACCCTTTCAAGTTCAGGTGTATTCAGAAACATTTGTTTGTCTACATAATCCTGCAATCACTGGCATTCACCCCTTAATGCTGAATTTAAATCACCATGCTAATGAAATGTTTAAATGGAACCTTTCCATTTTTTTACATTCATTATTTTAGATCCATCACTGGTTATCTGTGCTTCTCTATCAAATTGCCTTGATATGTAGATGCCAGTGTGGAGGAGTGGGCTTACCTAGGCAGATTGCATTTGCATAGAAACCACCCTAGGCCATGCCCACATGTGATGGTGACCATTTATGATTAAAGAAACTATAATCCAATGAATGAAAGGAGTGATCCAGGGACAGTAAGGCTGGGGAGGAAAGTGTTAAATAATGGTGCATGTCCTCCAGCCAGGAAATGAGATGGGCTTTAATTGACTTGCTGCTGCTTCTAATGCAGTGTGAGAAGCTCCCACTATACAGTAAAATCATAGTAAATAATATCAGTATAGGAGTAGAGTCTGTACAACTGTAAAAGACTGGAGAATCTGAGGACCTAAAACCTTCATAGCGGAGGGTGCAGAACAGAGATCAAAGGACGAGTGTATGGGAGTGCAGCAGGTCCTCAGAAAAGACCAAATCCTTGACAAAATAATTGACCCTCCTAAAGGTCACAAAGAAATTCATAAATGATGGGGGCAGCATTCATACTTTTATAAATAAGGTGAATGTCACTGAAATGTCTGATTTCCATTGATTCCCATGGATGAATGGAAAATCCAGATTGGCTATAAGGACAGCGAATGTAACCCAATCCGAAAAACATGCACTTTAACCCTTTTCTGTCTGGCTGTTGTAATTAAATGGCTGGATGTGTCACTTCTGAATGCATGTGGGCGTTTCTAAACTTTTTTCCCGCTCCCACTAAAGCCTGCCGCATCAGCATGTTAAACAGCTGGCAAAGGCTGTTTACATACAAGCATTCGGGTTGCTATAGAGCTCCCGATCGCTTGTATGATGTGTGGGAGAGTGCCTTCCCCCTGCTGACTATCCCAGGCTCCGATGTCCTCCATGTGGGCCCGAGACTGGTATGACGGGTCTCTATTCTTAGATCGAAGGGAGATCAGCATACTCCCAGCGGCTGATCTCTGCTCACACTTCCAGTGTTACTTTGTAATTTCTCCGGCTGCTGTAGCCAGAGAAGAAGCTGGTGAAGTAGATTGCTGCTTCAGCGGCTTCTTTGGGGTTCATAGGTGGCATTAGAGGTCTAATAGACCCATGATGTCTCCATAGAGAGAACCTGTCACTGTATTTGTGATACCACATCCCCGCCCCCGCATACACACACATACAAATGCAAACACATGTCGGGTGCACCTACATGCGAAAACAACAATTGTGCCGCACATGTTACATAACACTGGGATGTTAGAGTGAGATCAATAATTCTAGAGCCCTCGGTCATTGTTAACACTAAACTGATGAGCGGTAAAAGCTTTTAAATCATTGCCTATGGCCAGTTTTGGGTATAGTTGTTTTTCGCGATTTTGCAAGCACATGCAATTTTAAGGCTTGACATGTTTGGTGTCTATTTACCTGACGTGACCCCGTCTTTTATATGTTACCAAAACAATTGGGTAATAATAAATGTTTCATGACATAACTTTGGGAAAACAGTTTATTTTTCAAGATTTTTGGTTTTGTTTCATAAGCTTCAGTACCCATTAACATCTGGATGTGTTGCGGTAATGCATGTGCTGCAACAAGCTTTGCCGTGCATTGTGGCATGCTGCATTAAAGAATCCCATTTATTTTGAATGGACCACCAATGCAAAAAAAAATTGCTTCTACTAATTTTATTTTCTTCTTTTTGCAGTACAACAAAATAAATGGCACCGCAACACATTGCAACCCTGTTACCGCAGCTGAATGGTATGAGCGGGCTCTCGTAACCTTCCTTAAAGTGTATCTAAAGCCAAAACAGTTATACCGTAAACTCTCAGTTATCTGGTATTCAACTAACCAGAACTCTCATCTAACAAAACTCACTGTTTTGCTGATCTGCAGCATGTATTATCCTGGAAATGATCATGTGTCTATTTGTCTTAAGTGTGTCTATTTTTCTTAATTTGCTTTCGATTACTGCATTTTAATATTAATATGATTTCCGTTTGAACTACCTTTAGTCACTCACCCTCCTCGCAGCGCACTCCATGCCATCCTGGGTTGCACACACAGGTATAGTTTCCTTTTCCATCTTTACACTCCTTGGATCCCTCTTTATGGCAGGGCAAAGGCTTGCACTGATTCGGAAGTGCTGTTCAGATAAAAATGATGTTATAAAACACTTGAGAATATAATGATTAAGTTATAAATGATAAAAAGTGACTAAAATTAATCATTGCGTAAAGGTCTCTCTTACTTATTCAGGAAATTCCAGTGGCTGCATTACACATAGATGCTTCCAATGTCTTTGTGACAGCTTCTCGCTTCAAGGGTATGCTCACACAGATGGTAAGGCCTTGCTCAAAGAGGTGTGAAAAGCAGGTGCTTGATCCACAATTTTACCACCTCCCACTGCCCACCTAAAACCTAAAATAATGGCCACTCAGGCTTGTAGGCTGTGGTCCTTTGCATCATGGCCACAGCAAATTTCATACAGCATGTCATGTATAGCAGGCAGTTCTTGCTTGCATATATGAGAATTACAATCAATTAGACCGTGTGGCAACTGCCAACTTGGCATACGCATACTTGGCATATGCTTGCCAACCATATTGCAATGCAAGATCCCTATTGGGTTAAAAAAAAGAGAGAAAAAAACAGGCTTTAAGGAGGTGACAGTGTCGCCTCCTGAACACCTATAAATCAGCTGTCAGCGGCCCTCTGAAAAGCACCCCACTAGTGATCCCTTTTCAGAGGGGTGGTAGAGCCTGCCGAAATGTGAACAAGCCTAAAGGAGACCCAGCACAGGGCTGTCCATTTAATGTGGCGAGCTGAGTATTTTGCCTCAGGCTGGCCCTCATTTGGTCACATGGTGGGGTGGCAGCCAGGCAGGTAAACATTATGCCTGCTGTAGTATGTTTGAAGCCTGCTGCCCGCAGGACTTTGGACAGTACACAAGCTACCCCCGCACTGCAAGGGTTAAGTGATTGTTTTTGTCTAGGTACTAAAATAATAAATAATAATAAAATAATCTAGTTTGCCTTCATAAAATATCAATTGTTTGTACTTAGTATAAAAATAAATATTTAATACTATACACACCAGTAACACATGACCTTAGGTCTGCTGGGCTATCAAAATCCACATAGGTAAGCTTATTCGCATTTCCATTACGATGGCTGCCAAGGCAGGCTGTAAAATACAGAAGAAAAAGATTATTATTATTATTATTATATGTTGCAACAACCACTTAACATCTTCCTGCCAAGTGTATGCATATATGTGGCCTCATGGAAGTAGGGCTTCTTCTATGGGGCCGCGAGGCGGAAGGACCAGCTTATGATCACATAGGGGTCTATTCACTAAGCCGTAGGCAGCAGAGTGAACAACCGACCTGAAGCGAAGTGAGCCGAACACTGTTCGGCTATTCACTTCAGGCTGGTACGGCTGATTTCAGTCGTATAGCGGCTGAAATCAGCCGTACATCGGGTGGCTTCGCGTGGCTTCGGGTCGGCCGAACATGCTCAGCATGTTCG